TACCTCAGAGACTGTAGTTCTTTAAGAGAGGCTGCCAACCATTTACTTAGTCACCCACAAATAACATCCTTGGGGTGGAAATCCCAGCTGCATACATTTTACTCTCCTCCCAGTGTTTCATTTTTTCCAAACTTTTTCCTTCCCTCTGTGTGGTTGCCCAGACCAATCCATGAGCTTATTGGCATGTTATGAAACATGGAAACAATTAGAGACCACATTCTAGGGCACGGGAATGACTTGCTAGAGAATCAATGAATGAGGCAGAACTCGAGAGGATTTGGCAAGTCATATGGAAACTATGGAGAAACCCACCAACAGGATCTTATATCACATTCTACAATGGCTTTGCAGTGATTTATATGTTTCAGGCAGCAATAATACTTTACTTTCAAACTCTGCAGCAAGGATTGTTTTTTATATTCTTTTTATCCTTTAGCTCATATAAAATATTCAGCTCATAGTTTTCTTTTCAGGGTTGATAACTGAATATATTCACCATGCAAATACTCTCAAATATTTTTACCATGGAAAGCCAATTTCATTGATTTATTTTCATTTTTTTATCTTTAAGTAGTTGTATAAAGGAGTAGCATTTAACAAAGCAGTTTATGAATACAATTATTCTAAGTGGAGAATTCTTTCACTGTTGAGGGAGAGTGACCGAATTTGAAAATCAAAGAACATAAACTTTGAAATGACTGTAGTCAGTCCGAAGTCACTTTTAACACTAGTAAGGGCTTCTTCAGCCATTCAAAGACAGAGAACTTGAAGTTCTCTAAAGGCCTCTGAAGTTTGTATTACCTGTTCTTTTGAACTTAGCGGGCTTTTATTTCAGTGACCTGTCCTGAGTGAGGAAAGATTACAAACACTGATTTTTAAGGTCAGACCCCAATGAGAGAGTTAAGAGGGCTGGGACCAAACTGTAAGGTAGAAACAGAGGCTAGTTCTAAGTGACAACTTCCTTAGCACCATACGTAAACAATAAAGGGAGTGTGGAGGGAAGGAAAAAGTAAACCAAAAGGAAACGTGGTGCTGAGAATGTATCATCTCTAGTGCCAATTATCACTACATGTCACAAAATCTACATTACTCATTATTTTCTTATTGTATTGATTCAAGATAGAATTGCAGTGAAAGTAGCAGCCAGAATGTCATATGATGGTGTATTTGCAGCTGGATTAACAAGTTTTTGGTGCCAGGTTCTGCATTCTGGAGACTATGTCCTGGAGAAAAGTAAGTACAAAAGAACTCTGGTCTGAGATCCACTTTCTTCTTGACCAGACTTTATGGCTAGTCTGGACTCAGAATAATGGACAAAATTTATCATATGCAGGGGCTCTGTGAAGTTGCTTGGGATTTGGGAACGGAATCTACAGAGAAACAAGTTTAGTTCACTTGGGAACAAAAGTAGAATTGTTTTGAGGCCAATTGGAGGGGAAAGTGAACTTGTAAATTAGCCAACAACTTGTTAACAAAACAATATTTGAGAACTTGCCCCATTTATTATCTTAGTCAATACCCATATTAACCCAAAAGGGAAGAATAAGATTTTGAGAGGCTGTGTTATGTGCTCACTGGCATCTGTCTAGGCAGAATAAAGTGTAGTTCTGAGTGAAGACATTTGATTGCCAAGTCCTTCTATTTAGAACTGTGTATATTCTTGACTGTGCTTTTCTCCAATGGTGGTTATCTCCATTCATTCTAGTCATATGATGCTATTAACTTCATACTATTTTCCCATTCTTTTTCCTTCTCTATTTCTCACCTTAAATCTGTAGTCACCGGGTATTCTAATATACTTCTCATTCATACAAGTGTTGAGATGCACACTCAAGCACGCATACACACACACACACACACACACACACACACACACACACACTTTTTCACATATCAGGTGATGAATATTATTTTGAAGACCAGATCCTTAAAATAAATAATGGCAATGCAAGCATTAGCCCTTGAGGAGATGATTGGTTTAAACTACCTGGACTACCTTTCTTTATGAGGGAGACTCCAGGCAGCTCCTCGGTGGAGCCAGCCTAGTTCAAATGTCTGCTTTGAAGTTAGTGGCTGGGAATTGAGAATTCACTTGAGTATTCAGGTCAGCCCACAGAGCCCACAACATTCCTGAAGTATGGAGCTATAGATTTCAGTAACAACTAACCACTATTTATGACACTATTTTTATAGTGAAATTCAATCCAAATTCTTGTTTGAGAATCCAGAAATGCTTTCCTCTTTCTTCTCGCTTCTCTGGGTAAAAAGAGCAATTGGACAAGGAAAAGGGCAAGGGAGGAGGGTGGATATAAGGGAGGAAGAAAGACAAACAGATGCAATCATCTGAGACATAAAATGCTTTGTTAAATCTACCCATGACATGTGTACATTCTTACCAAGAATGGGGAGCAAAGGGCTTTGGGGTTGGGGTCAGCATTTATTGGTACCTTCAGCCTGACAAGGACTGAGGTTCCCCCACTGCCTATTGGCTAATGCAGGTCATCACAAGTTTGGATACAGGCTTCACCACCACAGAATAAAAATCACAAGACAGCATTTTAATTGGTCTCCTTAGGCCATTTAACAAAGGAGAAAGTGAACTTGAGAAAGCAAGGAGTAATTAATGAAGGAAGCAAACAAAGGTTCATTTAGTAACTTCCAAATAAGTTCTTCTGTGTGAGAAGGGGGTGGGGGTGGCAAGGTAGTCTGCAACAGAAAGATAAACTGCAGGTATTTAAGTCACAAGAACTGTTCATTACCATCAGATGTCGCAGAGGCAGTGGGGCCAGTTAGAACTAACTTTATTATTAGAAGCAATTAGGGAGAAAGGGGGCAGAATTTCATTTGGTTATTTCAAAAACAAGTTTCTGTGCAGTTTAATGAAGGCCTGCAGTGTCAAGATAAAATGTGTGTTTTACTGAAAACAGCCTTTGCAAATGACTGCTTGTTACCAGCTGGTATCTTTAGGCAAAGCAGACCGGGTAGGTTGGATTTACATACATGCCGTAATATAATAGTTCAGCTGTCTCTGCTTCATAGGAGTGTTAGCAGGCGAGGGAAGCACCTGTGTTCTGGAGCCAGACTGTCTGTCTTCAATTCCTATCTCTGACCTTGGTAAACTGAATGACCTCAAATGACCTTCTGCAACTCTCTGGGTCTTGGTGTACATACACCAAGTGAAGATCATAGTCACATTTTTCTCACAGGGTTTTGGTGAAATATCACTATGCTATGTGTTAGACACTTCTGTCATTATTAACTGTTATATCTGAGGTTTACTGGGGTCCAGGAACGTAGTGAAAGAAAGTGCTTGCTATACAAATCAATGATGGACCTATTTGTACCCTTTGATGGGAGTTTGAACACAAACTATGAAACAAAGGTTTGTCTTCAGAGTCATCAGTATTGTCTTATGAGCTCATGTTAAACAGTGTTTTACCATTGGTACAGAATTCACACAGGTGAGAACTCTCATTGACTTACTAACCCAGCTGCATGGCACACCATTTCATTTTCCACCTGTGTAGGAGCTTTTAATCTCTTCCCTTTTGTTAGCCTTTTCCTTATAAAGCCTCTGAGCAGCCTTTGCGCTTCCACACACATATATCTGGGCCAAGAGGCACTACTAGTGTTGAGCTTAGAGGAACACTTCAGGATCTCAGAGCTCCTAAGTGAAGAACGAGGTCTTGGCTTCTTTCTCCCTCTCCTTGTTGAGACCATTGTGAAATACACTCTTACTGTGACCTCAAACCCCACTTTGAATGAGCCTACACTTCAGTGACAGACTGTTACTAGTTGGTTCCATACCCAAGGTTAAAGATTGATTTTTATCCCATGGTTACAAAACTTGCCCACATACTGAGAAAAAGGCACACTACTTAGGCATTATGTTTTAGTTTTCCATATCAAGAGCACTTTACTAATATGCCATGCACCATAATATTAGACCCATATGACGAATAAAACTCCTTCCTTAAGAAGCAATGACTTGCCATTGAAATCTATTCCTTTCCAGAGAAATGTAAACTAGTGAAATGTCCTCTACACATTTATGTCAAGTGTTAAGCCACATCATTTTTTTTCTGGCAGCCCTAAATTAATTTATGTTAATTTGAAAAATTTGAACTAACATCCTCTATTATACAATTTTAGATCTTAAACTGCAGATTGTAAGAAAGAAAATGGTGAAAAGCCCATATTGAAGGGGATTTTCCCCAAAATTCTCAGATTCTTATTCAATGTGAAGTTTAAGAAAAGGTTCAAGTTACTATTTATTTTCTCAAACCATGTCCTTGAATACTACTGACTTTTCCTGACAACTTTCCTAATGTGGGAAAATTTCCTTTTTGAAAGGACTCAGAATTTTTACATTTGGGTTTTTTTTTGAGACAATGTATTGCTATGTAATACAAACTGGCCTTGAATTTGCAATTCTCCTGTCTTATCTTGCTAAATGATGAGATTACATGCAAGCACCCCTAACAAGCCATACTTTATAGAGGTGTTTTGGTTGTTTGTTTTGTTTTAGTTCAGGGTTTGAAAATAAGACTACCTTGCTTGCTAGGCAGCTGCTCTACCACGTAAGCCGCACACAACCCAGTCCATTCTGCGTTAGTTGTTCTACTTGAATCTTGCATCTTATTTTGCCCAGGGTCAACCTCAGATCACAATCCTGTTACCTATACCTGACCTTACTCAGCTGAGTGGTTGAAATAGGATCTTGTGAACTTTTTCCTAGGCTGATCTTGAATTAGATCCTCTCTTATCTCTGTCCTCTGTCCCCTGGGAGGCATCCATAGGCATCTTATATGCATATATCTTCACCACACTCACCCCTCCCAGAAGGGTATTAAAAATGTTTTAATCAGAATTGTTGCTGTTCAGTCACAATTACTGTACATAAAATAAAATTAGAGACTGGTGACATTCTGAAAAGAATACAATAGACAGCACAAAGACTATCTGGAAAAATATTTGAAGGGATGGATACTTATTCTTACCCTGGATCTTTCTTCTAATTTTGTCATCATGACAATCGTGGCACTCCGTTGCTCCCATATCATTCTCCAAAAGTCCCCAAATGTTTCAGGAAGAGATCCCTGTGTTGCAATATAAGCATTTTGCTTCCTGTAGCCATCTATGTAGTTGGCATTCACATAGTCACTTCCTGGGATGCCTGTAAAACAAGGAGTATTATTGAAGTAGGTGGACATATCACAAGAGGAAACAGTTTGGCTATGCCCTAATGCCAATGCTCTGATATTATTCCACACTCTTGTGGAATTTAGAGTCACATTCACATGAGTCACACTATACTGAGGTTTGGATTTTAAACAAGATTAAGAATAGGTCCTATAAGGATCATCTTGTTAAAAAAAATGCCACATTCAAAATGTCAAGTCTTTACAGCATGATAAGGTAGATTATCAAAGAATGGAAAATACAACAGATGGTTCATAGCATGCCTTTTCTCTCACGGGTCCTCTGTTTTCCCTGTTGCATGAGAAAAAAAATGTTTGTGAAGGAATAATTCTGATGACATTCCTCACTCATGTTCTTGCCCATTTTCAGACCAAAAGCAAATAAAGGAATGCCCAACTCTGAAAATGTTATATAAAATAGAGTATGCCATAGTTATAATTAATTGAAGATTTAGCTATCAGGTAACATACATATCAACTCTTTTTATTCATCACAACACAGCCATGTGAAAGTCTTGTATTGATTATCTTTTCACAAAAGAAGCATCAGGTGAAGAGGCAGGAAAAAGAACTTGTTTAATTCAGTTGCCTAAATTGGTGAGGTTGGGTTTAATCCTAGGCACTCTGTCTGCTTGCTCCATCTCTGTCTTATTCTCTGCAGAGTATTGCTTCCCTATGTATTTCTTTCTGGATTATGAAAATTGTTCTCTACCCACTGTCTCACTTCTATTTTGTCTTCTGTAGCCTTCTCTCCATCCATTTCAGAGACTGTAACTTCATTTCTTTGAACCTAGCAAAAGCTTTTTGTCACACTTCAAATAAGACCCAAACTCTAAACAGCATTAAGCTTACAAGGCTTAGTATTTCTCTAGACTCATTCTAGCTTCCATCCTGTAGAGACTGACCTGCTCCCATTGGAAAACATGGCTATTCTAGTTAGAACCACTTCCATTCCTGAACATACTCTGTCTTTTTTCCACCATAAAACACTCACATCTATCCTGATCATGTGGGAAGCCTTGACAGCCCTTTATACTACTTTTATGAGCCGTAATAATATCATTTGCTATTGCTTATCTTGCTTATTGTCTGATTTGAAATGTCTTTTATTCATGTTTTCTAATTCTCCTGACAAAAGGAATAACTTTCCAACATTTAGTAAATAGGAGAGCTCTATTTCTGATTTAAAGCTTAATTTTCCTCTATCTTAATTCCTTTAAGAGCTAGATAAGTAAATTGAGCTTCTTTTAGGGAAGAGCGGCAGAGTGATTGAGGAAATCAAAGCTGTTCTATATGAGAAAGGGACTACATATAAAAGTAACAAAGGAAGATTAGAAGTTGGGGATGAGAGCTGCCCTTAGAGTATGTGAAGATTTATCTTTTCAATTCTGAAGGATTTAAATACAGAGAGAGGAATTCCATTTCTAATTCAAAGAGGCATTCAAATGGTCAGAATAAAACAAACAAACAAAAAAAGAATAGGTGTTCTTGGAAGGTGATGAGCAATGTGTCCCTAAGGGAAAACAACTACTTTGTAGGGCTAGCAGAGTTTTATGGATGGAAGCACCAGGCCTTTTCTACAATCTCTTCTAGCTCTGGGGAAATATGTGTTCTAGAATTAGAGGAAGGGTTTTTTGTTTTGTTTTGTTTTTTTTTGCTATAACAGAACATATGTTCCCAAGCTAAGATTGTTATATGTCACCGATTGCCAGTTACAATTACTTTGACTGCTTTTCTGATTCCAGTTACAAAACTGATCTTCTCAAGAAGAGTAATGGAAGTCAGATGGAACTACTGTGCTTTGAGATGCGTGCCACCAACATTTGCTGAAAAGCTTTCTGAGCAGAAACTGAAATGTGAGGTTGCTTGTAACATTAGTCATCTATTGCAGCTACTCAAGAAGCAGTGGGGCTTCTGGCAGCCCTTTGTTGATAAAGATCTTGTTCTTCCCTGATACCAAATTACTGTGAATTCAGAGGGCAATTTAAATAAAATCCTCTGGTGGCAGCCCCTCAGAAGGGTACAAGGATACAAGTCTCTCCCTGGGATTGATTCTGAGCCTAGAATGGGCCCATTATAAAAAAAAAATGGGAAAAGCCCATTTTCAGTATTTTAATTTAGTAGCTAACAACATTAAGTAATTCATTAATTTTTTTCTTTTTTTATTGTGAAAATGCTGTACAGAGGTGTTACAATTACATGAGCAAGGTAATGAGTACATATCTTATCAAGCATTGTTGCCTCCTCCTTTGTTTCCCCTTCCGATCTCCCCGCCCCCACTCCCAAAGTTTCTCACTAAGGATCTCATTCAGCGGCAGATACACAGAAAACTGTCCAAGAAAATTCAGAATGGAGAAATCTGAGTGAAATGATTTTTTTTAATGCATCAACAGGGCACAATGCCATTTTCCTCCTTATCAAGGGTAACAAAGTTGTCTGTACAATGCATTTGGGGACAAGGAAGAGGTACACTGATTTTAAGGGAACAGAATCAGACCATCCAATCCACTTTACATATTTTTAACAGTCATTGTGTAATGAATTGGGTTCTTAGATATATTGCTACTCAAATTCGAATATAAAAATTTGGGGAGTGGAGATGAATTGCTACTGAAAAATGGTGGCACTTCCTAGGATATAAAGATAAAAATTCTGCCCAGAGACTACTAGGCACTTGGGAAAAAATTACTACCTCATCAAATGCTTTAAGAATTTAGGCCTTGGGCTGGGAAGATGGCTCAGTGGTAGAGCGCTTGCCTTGCATGCATGAGGCATGCATGGGTTCAATTCCTCAGCACCACATAAGCAAAAAGAAAAAAGCCAGAAGTGGCGCTGTGGCTCAAGTGGTAGAGTGCTAGCCTTGAGCTGAAGAGCTGAGGGACAGCGCCCAGGCCCAGAGTTCAGGCCCCACGACTGGACCAAAAAAAAAAAAAAAAAAGAATTTAGGCCTTGATATATTGAAAAAAAAAGGAAATTGGAAACAAGAATTTAGTACCCATGGGATCTAATTTCTAGACTAATATTTACATCCTGAAAATAATAACACAAATGTTGAGGTTTTGTTTCTACTTTGACACTTGTCTATGGGTTTTACCTAGCCTCCCTCTAGCCAGATCCTTTAAGGCCGGGGCAGAAGGACAGAACAGGCAACTCTCCCACAATCTTTAGCAACTTTCCACAATCCTTAACAATGTGGAAATGTTGAGAGATGCTACGTTCTACAGAAGCTCTAAGATCTCTTGAGTTCTGTATCCAATAACTTTATACAACCACCTCTAGGGAAAGATGAATGAGAAAATTTAAAAAGGGTGATGCCTTGTCCTTCAAAAAAAAATCAGCCCAAGACTGGATGCTAAAGTTAAACAGCAGTCTGTTTCAAACTGATGAAATCCCATTTTGCAAAGTGACATATTTAGAAAAGTTTGTCAACTAATCCTGTGAAAATATGCAATATGCTGAATTCCTGAATGCTTACGTGCTATAAAGAAATGCTTCCTCAGGAATTCTTCAGGTCTAGGAGGTTAGATCTACAAAATTTTATTGATTTTGTGGATAACCTTATCAGTGTAATGCATGTTTGTTTATTTAATTTTCAGTTCCCTGTTTTATCCAAACAGTGGCTTGTATTTGTTAAAGTGACACTAAACGTGTTAGAATTAATTGGATTGCCTTAAGATTCTGTTGATAGAAATCTGACATTAAATCTAGGACAAAAGTATGTATAGTTAAGATCAATTAATTTCTTTCTTTAGTTCTTAGGACCCAAAAGACCTCATTTCAATTCTCTAATAACAGTGATCAGGTCAAGTTTTTTCTTTTTTATGTTTATGTTTCATTTTTGGCAGGGAGAGACATTACTAAAATAATAGAAATGTGACAAAGATGCTCGTAATTGACATGGGCTAGTAATTGGCATACTCTTAAGACATTGGCCCTGCTGTCAGAATTATGTCTTAAAGATAGTTATTCTTCATGCTATTCAGGAAAAACAGTGGCTCTTTCCCAATTTACTATATTTGTAAAAATGAGGTTTTCATGATTTCCCATGTATTGTTTCATGGATATTCTCCAGTCAATAACAGCCATGGAAATGGTTCCAGCACCAAAAATAGTTGGTTCTTCTTAAAGTCTTACACATGACAATCCTGATCTAGTTTTCAACTGCATATCACACAACATGCTCCCTTCTTGTGTCTCAGCTTGTATCATCACTTAATGAACTATGCTTATTTGAAACACTGAAAATCATTATTTCATGCTCAAGACTGAGTCTTTGTGTTTGGAGCTCACTAGTCTGGGAGAGTAAACTCAAGCCACAAAAAAAAAGAGAGACTGTGATAAGGTGAATTATTGGCAGAGCTTTCTCTGTTCTTCAGGTACAGCAGGCTATGCCAAACAACTATTTAGGCAATGTACAGTGAGTTGTACATGCTCTTTTTATTTGCTATAAGCTACTAGGCTTTCTCAGCAAACTAATAAGCCTTAGAATGGACTCTGGACTCAGCCACTCACTTACTTGGTCCAGAAGGTTTTTGGGATGCTACTGTGGGTTCAAATGCAAGGGCAGCATCCATTTTCCTCATCTAAGTTTGAACTGCAGAATTCAGGGCTTCCAAACATTGCTTGTGGGTATGCATGTATCAGTAGGAGGGGAAATCCTGGAAAGGTGAAACTATTCCATTCGAAAGAATGCTTGTGATGAATGACTAATTATTGAGGACTGCTTATTGAGGAATGCTTGAAAACAGGGTACAATGTCAAGGAATATACTATTGGAACTGTTTAGTCATGGCAACATTAAAAGTAAGGTATTTTTTCCCCACTGATTTGAGGAAGGCTTGGCTGAGGCTTTCTTCTAAGCAACAATATTAACAATAAGAACACTCAATTTACTGTGGAATAAACATTTTGGTCACATGATAATCTGACCCCCTAAAGATTCCCTTAGTCTTTGTAATAATGAAAAATCTATATT